GGTTCAATATCAAGTACTATAAAAAATCATCAAAAAATTTTTTTTCACTTAAAATAAGAGCATCCTGTAAATATATGATATGGTCACTACAATTGCTCATTTATTTACTTCATAACCATCTATATCATGTAGTCTAGGCTCCAACTTCTATGTCTGAATTAAACTCCTTTACTAATGCACATGTTTCTCTATGGCCAATAAGACACATTCAGTTCCACGTGAACATTTTCACAGAGAAAGCAATTTAAAATGTGAAAAAAAAATTCACCCATGTTTGAGAAAGGAAGTTGCATTACTTTATGTGTTTCTAACACATCTCTTCAGAATGTTCCAGCCATGCCAATCTCTAAGTCTCTTTACAGACCAAGGAGGTAGGTGGGGCAGCTGTAAATAACTATGCAAAAAATAAAACCAAGGAGCATGTTCGCCCCATGAGCTTGGGCAAATAGGTTCTTTGGATATTTATGGGTTTTGTTTCTGTAGATAACTACAGGTATAAGAATATCTATCTCTTAGATTTCTCATAAAATAGAAATAAAAACACCTATGTGAAGTGCTTAGATCATAGTGATTTGCTCAAAGTAAATGCTTAACAATTGTGATTATTCTTATTAATAAGAGCCTATGTGTTTGGTTTTCAATGCTATTCTTTCTATTCAGTGAAGTCTTTACATTTTTATAATACAATTATTCTTATCTCACACATTGTTAATCCTAAATTGTCTCATATACATTTAAACTGAACTCTTTTTTGACTAGTTTGAATGACTATACAATCTGCCAGCTGAGAGTTCAGTGTTAGCTGTATAGCTACCTTTGTCTGGAAATGCATAGTGTAATTATTTGAACATTCCCTTTGTGCTTTCCTTTTATTATTTCATGAAAATGAGTGAGGAACAGAAAAATGAAAGTGCTCTTACTGGTAGCAAAAATCACAGGTACCATAAATTCACTGTAGTTGAGATAAAGATGGCAGTCTCTAGATGGCCAAGAATTGATGAATCTTTGTTGAGGGATTAAGATAGTCAACTGGGCATACAAATGCAAAGGAAAGGCATAAAATAATAATTAAAAACACTGGAAATATATTACTTATAATTATATATAATTAGTGAACCTTTAAAGGAATTCTTCAAACTATTTACCTTTCTGCAATCAAAAATTTCTTATAGCCTTGGAATTAACTTTTATATTTCTTACACCTGACCTCCACATAAGAAGGATTAGAATCTGAATGTGTTTGGAGGACCTGCTTCCAGGCAAGGCTGACGAGGAAGAAATATTGGCAGTAATAGTATTCTTCCTTAAACTACCTTTCTCCTACAATTCAGTTAAATACAGAGAAACTATAAACTTAGCGAGTAACTGCTAAGAAAAAGCATTACAGGCATTGGTGAGAAGAACTTTGTACTGTGGCCAATGTGCTCCTATTAGTGTGCTTGCACAGCAACTTCAAGGCAGTGTGATCTTTGTCTCTTCTACACTCAGAAAAACAAAGTACACCTGGCTGGTGTCTGCCCTGACACTAGATAGAAGTTGAGATGTGTTTATTTGAGGCTCAATAAGGGCTGTCTACTGATATCTGTGCATTTCTGCTTGGCTAAATAAAGCAGTAGCTTCCTCATAGTTTATATCACACTTTTGAATAAGATATTTAAGATAAGACCGTAGGAAAGTTCAAAACCCAGGCCATGTTCCTTTAAACAAAATGACATTTCTTAGTAAAGAGGTTCCCAGTGTCCCTTGCAGAAATATATCTGATTTCAGAAAAGGATTGATTCAAATAAAAATGTGTTTGTATAAGAAAAATTATTTTCTGCTGAGAAACACGTAGTTTGGGGTAAATTTATAGTTCTGGCCAGGTCATTAATATCTGGTTGTCAAAAAGTATTGGTTTGAACAAAAATATGTTGTAATAAAAATGCATTGTTTTTGAAGAAATTTATTGGTCCCATGAAAACCTATTCGATTCAGAAAGATATGTTGATTTCAATGAAAAATCTATTTGTTCTAGGAGAGATAGTGCTGGGCTCTCAGCTTTTCCATGGGAAAACTCTGTGACATTGATGTTCACTTAGAAAAATGAAACATGCGTGTAATTAGTGGAAAGACTGTGAAGAGAGAGCATAAGGCCTGTTTAATCAATAACGCTTAACAAGGACATAATGAGCTTCAATCTTCAGAGCACAATGACAAAATTAGCCAATGAATCCTTGCAAACACTCCAAAGAGAGGCGTGGGTGCCTCTGATTTTAGAGGACAGACACTACTGCAGGAGTAATGAGAAGATGGAAAGAACGTCATGAGTTGAAGACCAGAGACTTTGGACACCTCAAGAAAACTACTGCTCTAAATATGAAGCCCCTTTATTATAACACCTCCAGCCTTCTAATATTTGTCACCCATCTTTGCATGTTGTACTTTAGAGGCTTGAAATATAAAACGTTTATCTTAAATGAGAAACTCAAATTATAAATGAAGAGCAAAATAAAATGTAGATAACAGGAAACAGGGAGATAGCTCACAAATGGGAGGGGATCAAGAGGGAAAATAATGATAGAAGGAATTATATTGTGTCATGAGTTTGTGTAAACATTATACGCTGCAATCATGTACCAATAAAAAATAAATAAGACAAAAATTAAATCTACAGAAAAAACTACATTTCCAGATCATATTATCTCTAAATAATATTTCTATTTTTAGAAAAGGGACATAACAGTTTGACAAAAGGATGGAGAGGCTGAGTAAAGTAGTTTCTATATCCTATCTAAAACAGAAGCCCATCCCTAGAATTGTTGCTGAAAATCACCAAATCCAAAAGAAGTTCTCTTCAGTTGTTGGCTCACAGCAAAGCTTGACAATTTTTTCTTCAAATAGCCAGATAATAAATATTTTTAGGTTTTCCAGGGCTATACATTCTCTGGCATACTACTCAGCTCTACTACTCCAACATGAAAGTAGCCATAGACAATAAGGAAATCAATAACTCTGTGTTCCAATAAAACTTTATTTACAAAACAGGGAATGGGTTGAACATGGTCTATCAGCCAGAGTATATTTAAAGATGCAACCACTAGTAGCTTATCCAAGTAATTATGCAGAAATATACTGTTATTAAAAGCAGAGAGTAGATAAGAATAACCTTTGTGAAAAGTATGCAGGCAGTTCTCTTGTAAATTTTTCAGAGATGATGATTAGTGCAGAGACAATCCAAGAAGACTATGGCTTGAAGGAGAAAGATTCTACACGATGTTCATTGTAGCTTCAAGTATATAATTTCAATGCCAAATCACTTTCCTTTATACTAACTAAAACCTCATGATAGAACAGTATTTACTAAAATTGAACAGCAGGAGTATGGCTTCAGATGTGAGCTTTCTGCACAGCGTTAGAGATAGATGTGAAGGGAAGATATTTTTCTTATTCTAACTGATGGCAGCTGCTGCCTGTTGTGGTAAGAGGCAGTGGCAATGCGACTCTTGCTTGGGTGCCTGAAGCCACACCTGCTTTGTCTTATCTGGGTTCAGTGTGGTGATTTTTGGGATTCCATGATTTTAGAAGTCCTCTGCTTGTAGTGCTGCTTGGAACCCTGCAAATAGGATGTGAAAATTCATATCAAGAATAGGTATTGATTCTAGTCTAGATAAATTACATTAATCACTTCTCTGGGGACAGGGAAAAGGATGGTCAATTTGCTACCAAGTGGCTGGTTACCCCTTAAGAGAGGACGCTATGCAAAGGTTTTAGAAAATTTCTATTGCTGTTAACTTGAGCAATTGCTGGAAGTATCATTTCATAATCCTGCCTTGATAATTGGAAACCTACATTCTTCACTATACCTGCCCTTTACCTACCATGGCCATTCCTTCTACATACCTGTGACATTGCTGTTGGTAGGGTTGGTAATAGATGCTGGCTTGACTTCTGCCTGAGTCATTCTGGAAACAGTTTAGTGTCCTTTCTGTGGTAAATGTGCTTCAGTGGGTACATGTGGGTAGTTTGAGAGTCTTCCCTCTACTTATCCATTCCTGTAGGTTGCCACAAATGCCACACGGTACCTTTTCCACCCTTCATTCCTCAAGTACTGCAGGCTCCGAGACCTCAAATGGTCTGCACAGCGAGAGTATAAATCACAGACAAGACTTGCTGACAGTCATCTCTGTAGTAACCTTTCTAGGTTTGTGTTACTACATTTCCAGCCCTATCTTTATTTTTTGTTTTGAATCAGGGTCTAGTTAAATTGCTATGTTGCCCAGGCTGGGATCAAACTTGTGATCTTCCTGTTTTAGCTTCCCAGAATGCTAAGATTATAGGCATGCAGTACCACACCCAGTTTTAGTGACTTTTAATTTCCCTTCTTGGTTTAGGGTGAAAACGATTTCAGAGGCTTCCACTGGTTTTCCCAAGGACTGTAGATTTCAGACTTATAGCAAAAAAGCCAATAAGAGGGCTTTGATACACACCTTGTATATTTAACCCTATGTATATTCAAAGAAAAAAGGGGAGGGATAACAAATAGTAGGTTTGTGATTCTCTTTAATTCATGCCTAAACTAGGGCTACCCTTATTATCTAGCCCTCATGGCTCTAGCTTAAAGAGAAGGGATACAATAATATTTGAAGGCCCGAGGGATCAATATGATTTTGCAATGTATGTTTACAGATCCTTAAAATATTTTAGTAATTTACAGTGTATATTCCCCTAAGTCAATGGCCATAGATCTGTTGTTATTCTGGTGGTACCAAATGAGGGACACAGGAATGATTGCAGTATACTCTTCTCATGAGTTTACAGCTTTTTAGGAGCTCTGTTTATCCTCTAGTTAGTGGGTCTCTAGCCTGAAAACTCTCATATCTAGAAACTAGGCAAGGGACTAAAATTTTATTGTGATAGTTTTCCTCAGAGTCTTGCTGATACACATCACTCTACTTTATAAATGAATATATATATATATATATATATATATATATATATATATTCTTGTTGGCTATTTATCTTGCCCCTAGGGATGTTGCATTTATGTTCTAGATTGTAAGTTTCTCATTTCTTACAAATGTTTCTACTTATCTTGCTCTTTATGATTATAAAGCAACCAGTGCCCCTTTGAATTTTGCCATCTTCTATCAGTTGGTCCTGTTCTGAAATGACATCTTAACATCAACTTTGCTCTGCAGGACACATCTTCTCACTGATGCTGGTGTTGCTGTCATATGCATGGCCTATAATAATTTCATACACAGAGGTCTCCAGGTGGTAGATGAGCTGAGTCTTAAAGAATAGGCACATATTAGGCATATGAAGATTATTGAGTGGAGAATATTCTAAGCACAGGGGAGAAAAGCCAAAACAAAAACCTAACTAACTGAGAGATTTCCTAGGTCCCAGAATACAGTATACATGCAGTAGAGTTATATATAAAGCAGAATCTGTACACGGTCTTATGATTTAGCCTGTTGGTAGTAGCAAAAGAAAGACAATGCCAAAAAGCCTGCACAAAGAGGTAAGGACAGGAAACATTTCCTGTTGTCTCTGATAAATACCAAGTGAAAATCAGAGTAAGAAAATGGAAGCTGGGGGCAGGGGAGAGGGTGGCAGTGGCCCAAGCACTGCAGACACATGTAAGGTAAGAGTTTAGATGCTTAGGCCTGCAAACCTTCCAGCTATGTGACACACAAGTGAGCTGTTTCCATTCCAACAGGTAACCATATTATCCACCAGCCCTAGGGGATGCAGCTTCCCTAGCAGTAATTTAGGCAAAGCTGATTATTTTCTTTAAGCACCAAGTCTTTTTGTTTTTGTCACGAAAGATTTCCACACGGGCTATTGGCACCAACTTACTTGCCAAGAGATGTGGGGATTTGACCTTCAGAATCCCTTATGAGACTGTGAAGAAGGAAGTTGAGCTTACTAGAAATTTCTTATCTCTTTTGTCATTCTTTTTTTCTTTTTCTTCTGACATACTTGGCTCCAGATGGATACTAAAGATCATCAGAATGCAGTTTTTCAGAATAAAACTACAGTCTAGAATTACACAGCACATGCTTGGAAGATAAAGAATCGATGAGGAAAATAAGCTCTTATCTAACATACACACATAACAAGTCTTCGATTAGAGTCTAAATAGGAGAGACCTTATGTTTTGAGGGTCCAATGACTCAGTGAGTACTTAAATCTCTTCAATTAACAATATCACCAAATGGACATCAATCAGTGATATCCTTCACACATCTACAGCACAGAAAGTCACTGAACTCACAGGGCTGCAATTCTGTTTTCTCAAAGTTACATTCCTGTAAAGATTTCATTGTATTGAGCTCTCACTCATAACCCATTGTCCAGGGCCACAGGGAAAAATTCTTAATCAATTCAGGTAGCTCATGCATTCTTACATGCAGTCTTCTTTAGACTGCCTTGGGTTTTCCACATAATCACAGCCACACACTTTTTCCTTATTCTTAAAAGAATAAGGTCATTTATTTTAATTTTATTTTAATTTTTTCTCTTTCTTATCCTTTGTTCCTATCTGTGGGCTTCATGGCTATAATTACTCAACTTCTGACTTGGACAGAAATAATTGTACTTACAGGGAGTGGGTGTGAATGTGCATATGTGTACTGCAAGAGAGGAGTCAGATCTAAAGAACATGGAGAAGGATAGCACAAATGGTATTCTAGTAAAGAGAGTTTCAGACCCAATAGACCCGTAGATGATAAGATAGGGCTACTAATAAGGAAACAATGAATAAAAGAGGAGGTAACTGGCACATAAAAGAGTGCCTTCTAATCTCAATAAATGGCTCCAAACCTATGCCAAAGAGGCAAAATCAGGTGCTGAATGTATGGATAGATCTTGGTTTCCAAGAAGAAAGAAAGGTCTTATGTATCTATATATTTTTAGGACATTGTTCTGTTCATTTTGGTCAAATGAATCTTGGTAATATCTAACTAAAAAACTCACATAGAAATGTCTTCAGAAAACATTCATAGAATAAATGAATATGTGAAATGTCAATACTTAAGGCAAATAGCAGAACCCATGCATAATACTGGAAAGATAGTCTGAGTCAAAACTCAGGTGCTGCTGTTTTGATTTTAATTCTCCCCAATGTATCTGCATCTCCAAAGCAGAAAAATCAAATATGAAGAGAAGAAGAAGCAATATCTTTTCTTCATCCAAGAAAAGGTTCATGGTTGAAGTCTCCATAACCAAACCTAGATTGACAAGAGGAGAGTGTACACATTTATTTAATGTTTTGTGCTATACAGGAGTTTTCAGAAATAAAGACACAAAGGAAAGGGGAAATTTGTGCCTTTTCAGGAAGAGGCAGGAAGAGGTGTGGCTGAAGGTCAGAAGGGGATGAGCTGATGGTAATTTGCCAGGAGAATTTAACAAAACCTGTTTATTCTTGCACTTCTTGACATTCCCATGTTCCATTCTCTGCCTCTGGGTTTAGGGCAGTTTACCTGTGACACGAAGGCTTTGAGAGGAAGAGGGAGAGAAGGTCAGGGAGTTACCTTCCTAGATTAGATGGTCTACTTAAGGGAAGGAAAGAGGGCAAGAGAACAGGGATCTTTCTGTTCCTCTGTTTTTTTAGTTTCCAAGATGCCATAATTTGGGATAATATTTTTTAGACTCCCTCGAAGTTAAGGCTTAAGGTTACTAATGATAACACTGCACGAACCCGCCCTATTTCACATTAACGTTGAAATTGCAGAGGGTTTTCAAATTGAATCTGAGTTTTCTTCAACAATTTTTCATAACAAAATATTCTGTTACTAATGGTGCATCGATAGCCATGAGTTAATTCTGGAGGAAAGAAGGGAAGATTGTGAAACATCTTCCAATTCAGAGTTACGAACAACCCCACTTGGAAGTAGTTATGATTGTACTTTGGGTTTCTTACACCAAAAGAACAATCTTATGTCCATCTGCATAACAGCTTAAAAAAGAACTAGATGTGAACTCTGTCACCCTACTTAATTTTTATATTATTTGAACTCTCGATTTATAGTTTTACCATAAGGAAAATGGACATAATGCAAATTGTTGTGCATGTTCTTTGACTGAGCATTCTTAGTCTTGAAATACGAAAGAGTTACAAAACCCCAAATTTTTGAGTAAAAACACACTGCCACAAGTAGGAAATCCCACACCTGACCTTGTGTGACAGATCACAGTTGAAACACAGGTGCACTGAAAGCATTGCATAAAATTACCTCCAGGCTATGTGTATAAAATGTAGATGAAATATAAATGAATTTTCTGTGTAGAGCTGGATCCCATCCCCAAGATAGCTCATCATACATATTTGAGTATTTCAAAATCCCTCAGACTCAAACATGAAACACTTTTGGCCCAAAGAATTTGGAATAAAGGAGAATTGTACCAGGCACATAAATGCATCTAGAGGAGCAAAGACTTTATCTTTTTCTTTTACTGTTCTCTGTGAAGAGATGAGTTTCAGAACTGAAAGCCTTAGAGTTTAATCACAGAAGAAGTAATGAACATAAACTTCAAACATGAGATTTAATGCAGGAAATTGGTTATAGAGGTGATGAAAGAATTGAGACAGCAGAAAGACAATTTCGTGCAGGAAATCACTGTCCCCCCTGAAAAAAGAGGCTCAACTCCTACAGATGATGATACGAGACTGAGGAATTGAGAGTCATTGAACAAACCTGGAGCTGGGGTGTGCATGGCTGGCAGAACCTAAGATCGTAGAAGAATTACTTTCCAGTGTGTATGGAGAAGGCAGAGACAGCCATGACCAGAGACACTGTACAAAGTAGAGAGACGGGAAACATTACCCCCTGGATTTGGTCTTCTACTCGCCTTCCAGTCTTTCACCCACAGGCGCATATTTACATCTACTTATAAATCAGAGGACGAGAGACTAAAATTTAGTTTTCTGAGGTTCAGAAAGGAAAGGAAAAAGAGTAAGAATGGAAGAATAAAAGATAAATTTAGTATCTAAATTCTGCATGATTTACCTGAAGCATGTGAAGGTCTGTCTTGTATCCTCTCTCCTCTTCAAAATAACTAAAATATTTCCCTTTTCCCAGCAAAGTTCTTGTTAATATTCTCTAAGTGAGACTCCTGATAATTTTAGAGGTGACTAAAGTTTAATGTGATCTGTGCTCAAAGTATCTAGAAGAACTGGGTGGGGGAACCCAAGATTCTCTTCTCAGGTAGGAAATCAGAACTCATTAGTTTGACAATTTACCATACTCATAAATATTTAAAATGAATGATCCAATGATTATATCATCACTTGGGTTCCAAGTCTGAAACTGTCATGAACTAAAATGAATTTCACTATTTACAACCTCAGTTTATATAATAGGTATATGCTCTTGCAAAATGGAGTTATCTAATCTTGGTAAATTAGACAATATTCAGTACATTAGAATTTTTTATAATTTCAGTTAATTTCACAGAAAATTATTTTGTCAACTTAAGAATTTTCTTGTTATGAAAATAATCATTTCCTGGGAATCTATTTTATAAATTCTGATTTTTGACATACTGGTATTCTTTCAAGTAGATATAATTCTATTTTTCAGCCTCACCGACATTAGCCATTTTACAAACCACTTACTAAATGCCACAAGAGTGGTAACAATGAACTGTTATAAAGGAAAGGAAGGAAGAATGAATTCTAGATAGAAGCATGTGGTATGGCATTATGAGGGAACTGATTTGGCTAACACTTTAATACATGGCAATTTCTTTATAATCAGGAGATAAACAAAAGCTGTATCAGTGGGAAATCACATTATAGTGTTAAATAAGTGATGTAGCAATATTTAAATGGAAATTACTGGAATTTAGACAAAACATGGCTTGCATGGTCAGATTATGAAGAATACTGAATCTTGAAATATTTAATACTCAAGAGGGTCCTTACGTGTTTTTGCTTTGATACCAGTGAGATATGGCTAGAATTCAAAAAATTAAAGTTTATTTCTACTTCTCAAATTTTATAGATTATCTTTTTATTAAAATCAGTTTTTCTCTATATAGTGATATTACATTGTAAGATGCCATAGTATAGGAGAGGTATATATAAAGAAAAGATAGTTTCTGATTTCCACAATAATTTGTTTTGCACTGATAGTTATATCTACTGTTTCCAGAAAATGTGAGGTGAGAGATTTTAGTAGAAACCTGGGGTTATTCTAAGTGTAACTCCACCAGTATTTCATTGATGCTGTAGAATCAGTGTTCTCAAAGAGAATCATGCCCTGACTCCAACATGATTTCTCCAAATCTGACTCAGAAAGAGTTCTTGATTTCTCTGGAAAGTTAAAATTCAGACATATGTACATATATATCATATAACTTGAATGATCTGCTTACAAAGAATCAGTTTAAACAAGAATTTGAATATGTATATCATTCTCAAACTTATGTTTTCACCTAATCTGAAAATATCTATGTCTAGACTCTGTTTAGAAAACCAAATTAAAAATCAGTAAGTAGCATAAGAACAAAAGATCAAAACCTCATTGTCGACCGCAAAAATTACCTTAGAAATAGAACAAAAAGTTTCAGTTGTTACAATTTTACTGAATTTCAGAAGAGACTCAGATACTGATGTTTCATCCATTTCTTGAGAATGGAGAATTGAAATGAGCAATCTATGATCACACAATTAATTCTTTTGAAATGCAGACATGCCCAATTTTACTCCAGCTAGTTTAAATACGTTTTCTGTAAATGAGTTCCTTAAACATTTATTACCATCATGCCATTGGTTCTCCCAGTGCTCTGCCGAAGAGTTATGTGGAACAAAATGGGAAAGAGGGGGGATTTTAACTGCCTTTACAGAATGATGAAATCTATCGGCCATTTAAAGATCAAATCCAGAAACTAAATCTCCTTGACTTTTCCTGGAATTTATAGTGTGGGGAGTTGCATGTGGTTGACTCACTAGTTAAACCCCTCACACTCGAAAGACAGTATGTTCAAACAAAGCAAACAGCCCAAAGCAAATGCCATGCCCGGTGAAGACGTCATAGGCTCGTCTCGGCCCAAATCCAGTAGCAGCAATACATAATGCATGACCGGCACGATTTCTTCTTGCTCTTCTAGCTTGGCCATTGCTCAAGTCCAAGCCCCAGTGGAATCAAGTAATCAAATACAGATTTGGAGTCATTAAATCTTCAAGGAGAAAGTTTTTTAAACATTTGGTTTGAGCAGTGTTCACAAACTGGAGAAGCAACAAAAGAAAAATCAATTAGAAATAGGAAGTTGGCTGGGATAACATAATAAATTATTTTAAATTTTCATTACGGCCTTGAATTTAACTCCTGCTAATCTGAAAAGTGAAGAGTCTAGGAAGATGATCTCCTGTCCCTACGTCTTACTCATCTCTAAAATGCAAGACTGGAGGAAAGCATCTTGTGCTTGGGATGTTACTGCTTCCTCATAACAGGACTGAGGAAAAATATCTGCTTATGAGTTTCCAGCTCTTTATCTGACAAATGGAAATGCAAATATTCAGTGTTCTAATAAGAACTGAATAAGATTTTATGAAAAATTGCTTCATAACTTAGAAGGAACTACATACATGCAGGCTTTTGTTACTATTCCATTCGAAAGCAGAAGGTTGAACTGGGATGGGGTCTGTGCTTCACCCCCACCGAAGCACATTGCATGGATAACATTTTTAATGTTGTCATTGTCTGCAGAATGGGTCTATTGCTAGGGCCCTAAAGAATGGTTCCAAAAGAAAGTGAGAAAACCAATTAAAACCAATTTAAATATACAACTTTGCCAAAAAGAAGAAGTGGGGAAGAGACAGGATAAAGACAACTTATATATTCATGAAACTTGTTTGTCAAACGGTGAAGCTGGTTGAGCTTATGGTTTTAACAACCTGCTGCTCTCGTCTGTCTCTGTCTGTCTCTGTGTCTCTGTCTCTGTCTGTCTGTCTGTCTGTCTGTCTGTCTGTCTCTCTCTATCTTTCTCTGTCTCTTCTCCTGAAATCCTTTCTGTGTCTCTTTCTATAGCTGCCTCATTTTGTCTTGTTAAAGTGTCGATTCCTGTTTTTTTCCACACACTGGGAAGACAAAGCAGCACTAAGGCTATAGCATGCAAAAGAAGGACAGTCCTTTCAATTCATAAAAGTATTTGGAAAGACTATGACTGGTTTCCATGCTCCCCTTAAACCAGTCACTGGCTCCAGGGAAGTGTGACCGTAGGATTGGCCTTGGCTGAGGCATATGAGTCCTTGTATCCAACTAGGGCCATATGGAGTTAGAGACAATAGTCCCAAAGAAAGGATAACATGCAGACAAACAAAAGGATCTCTACTACAAGTAACTTTTATTAAGTCATCTGGGGAGCCTCTCATTACAAAACATTTTAAAACTGTTTCTAAACAGTCACAAAGAAATACACCTTATTGGGGTTACAGAGTGTTATGGAATGAAAGACCCTGAAATTTGAAAGGATCTTGGATGAAGAGCATTATTATTTTTATATTCTACATGGGAATATGGAAGCTAAAATAACAAAATAACTTGATAAACAACACCATGAGAAGTAGAAGCTGATCTTGAAACCTGGTTCTTGGTGTGGGAGTCCCTCCTCTTTAGTAACCTGCCTTTGCTCCTGATTTGAAGCTAGGAAGGGCAAGTCAAATGTCTGGACAGGATCGTACCTGTAAAAGACATAGTACAGATTCAGGAATATGGTAACAGCAAAAGTGGGGCTAGTTTCTATTCTTCTTTCCAGTTTATTACACACTCACTGATCCCCCCAAGTTTTCAGTCGACAGTATTCAAATTTTTGTGAGAATTTACTTACCCAGTCAGCTCTTTTCTTTTCCTTTTTTATTGGATTTTTAGAGATACCTTTTAGTAAGCAAGTTTCCTTTGATATTTTAAATGACTTTCTTATGTTCTTTATTTAATCTCTCTCAAATCCAAAACATAGAAAGCATGTAACAGGAAAAGCCTAGTAGTGATGGAAAACCTTTTAGAGGTTTCAACAATGCAAACAGCTGGTTTTAGGTTGTGTGCCATAGGTTCACCACCACTGGCCTAGAGAAATGGAAAGATGTAAAAAGGGAAGATTCAGCAGTGTGTCTAAGTGAAAAACCCGCAGCATTGGTCATAAAAGGTGTATTTGTTAGGCATTGCTTTTACGTTTGTTAGACGGTATAAACACAGACCAGTCTGGGTATAAAGCACAAAAACAGATAAAGATACATAATGGTTGCATCCAGAGCAATGTTAAATGGCATTAGAAAAATAAATACTCCAAAATGAGACGACTTTCAAGACTTTTAACTTAACTGTAACGGTGAACTTGGGGTGGAACTTCAAAGATCAAATAACCCACTCTTCACTAATGCTATACACTGAAATCCTGGAAATTCTTAATTTTGAGAAAAATTGTTTTTCATCCCATTTTATACTTCCTCTTCTATTTAAAGAGCCCGAGAACTTTTAGGACTTTAACGAGTTAATAATACACCTTTCCAAAGCAGAAGTTATCATCAGCAACTTCTATCCCTCAACTTGTGGGACTAATAACAATATTGTCAGATGCCAAAGACAGACGCATGTGGTGCTTGGCTCATGAGCCAGCCAACATGGCCTTGTTGAATTCAGCTCCATTTTGCAAACCAAATGCAAAGCCACATGGCAGCCTCTGTCAGGAGTAGGAGTATAGCTGGTAACTGCCGAGCTATCAGCTGAAATCCACCCTCCCACATATTTCATTTAAAACAATCACCACATATTTGCTGTGGACTTTTCTTTCATTATAGTCCAACCCTGATATTTAATCAGTCTCTGCGCTTTTCTGTTTGAACAAGTTGATCCTAAACCATAATAATAATAAAAAAAAAACAGGTTCAAGAAATGTCATCAGCACCCTATTATCCCCTCTCTGTGAACACATTCATAATGCATTATAGCTTCAATGGAAAGGTTGCTTATGATTAAAATTAATAAAAGAATTAAAGCTGCATTTGTGGTGATGGTCTCCTTTAATTTGGCTTTCATCAGTTGGACCATAAAATTGAAAGTTGGGGGATGAGGAATAGACTGTGTGTTAGGAATATATATTACATTCATTAAACATTACATAAGGGAAGATTTTAGAGTCAATCTCTCCTTTAACTAACATCTCAGACTGGCATCATATCTGCTAAGAGAGTAGCTATATTTCCCTTATTAAGACTACTTAGTAATAAGAACTAAAATGTAGAGAAAAAAATATCAGTTGGGATATTATATCTTCCAGGTGGTCAAGATCTTTCAGATTCATTATATTTTGATGGTCATTTACTCATGCTTTGTCAGTTAGTGTAGCACATTCTTTGGCAACTTATCACATTCAAGGAGCTTTTACTTCATATTTAATATATTGCAAAGAGATGAAAAATAAGCATGACTGGAAAAGAGCAGGGTGTCTGTGTGTATCTATGGTATGTTTGTAAATTATGGACAATACTCAAAATATTTTTCAAGTACACACACAACAGCAGCTGCCAATTGAAATAGATATTACCAGAAATATTGATTGAGCTGTGCCATCTGAACACCAGCTCTCCCTTGTTGGGCGTGGTGGCACATACCTGTAATCCCAGTCATCAGAAGGCTGAGAAGGAACTGCAGTGAGTTCGTGAGTTTGAGGCCAACCTGGGCTACAAAGTGAGTTTAAGGTCAGTCTCAACTGCATAGTGAGACCCTGTCTCAAAAAAAAAAAAAAAAAAAAAAGTGAGAAATCACTCCAACTGCCATCCAAAAGCCTAGTTCTGTAGTAATAAGAGTGAGAGTGCTTACAGAAAGACACAAACTACTAAAATTAACTCAAGGAGAAATAAGGAATCTAAGTGAGCCTGTAATAAGTGGAAATTTAATTTCTAAATTAAAAAAATACAAAGACAAGCCTACAACAAATGACTTCACAATTGTTTTTTTCCAAATATTTGAAGAAATGACCCCAGTGTTTCACCACTTCTTCAAAAGACAGAAAAGGAAGGATTTCTCATTACTTTTTATTGTACAATATTACCATAATACAAAACTTGGTGAAGATACCATGAAAAAAGAAAATTACATACCAATATCTTTTATGAATATGGATAAAAATGTGATAGATTGAATTATTTCACTGTAATATCAAGAATAAAATAGGAATGTATCCTTTCAACATTTCTATTCAACTTTTGCTGGAGGTACTGTCCATGAAAAATAGACAAAAGAAAGAAATAAGGAAAGACAGCCAGATTGAAAAGGAAGAAGCAAAACTCTATTCAAAGGTGATGGGTCACATATTTATAAATTCTAGAGAAGTGCACTAGAAAGTTACTAAAGCTAGAGAAACATTTCATTAAGATTGTAGGACACAAGTTCATTATACAAATCAGTTTTATTTCTATACATTCAAAATGCACAATATAAAAATGAAATTAATAAAATAATGCAAATTATAATAGTATCAAATAATAGAAGTAGAGATACATTTTGAGACAATTATAAAATCAAGAAAATGAGTATAAGTAAATAACCTTATTCTGCGCCTCAGTCTTCTAGAAAAAGAAGTACAAGTCAAACCAAAGGCCCACACAAGGGAGAAAACTATAAGTATCAGAACAGAAATTAACACAATTGAGACTTAGAAAAGAATACAAATAGTTGGTTCTTAAAATAATAAATACAATTGATAAAAACCTAGCTAATCTTATCAGAAAAAAAAAAGGAAAGAAAAAACTCAAATTCATGCAATGAGGAATGAAAATGGTGAAATGACTATGGATCTTGTGGAAATTCAAAAGATAAACAATAGCCACTTTGAAAATCTTTACTACCATAACAGAAGAAATAGAAAACTTCCTAGAAATGTATGAATTACTAAAGCTAAACCGAGATATAAAGATTGTAAATAACCCAATATTAAATAGTGAAGTTGAAAATGTAATTAAAAACTTACTAACCAAGAAAAGCCCTTTTCCTGATGGATTCACAGCTGAATTCTACAAAAAATTTGAGAAGGTTTGATGCCAATACTCCTCAAACTCTTCAATTAAATTGAAAGACATGAAATTCTCCCTAATTCATTCCTAGAGGCAACAATTACCCTGATACCAAAGCCAGAAAAAGACCCAAACAAAAAAGAGAACTATGAACTAATTTCCTTAATGAACATAGATGCAAAAATTCTCCATAAAATACTAGCACACAAAATGCAGCAAATCATCTAGAAGATTATACATCATGACCCAGTAGGATTCATCCCAGGAATTCAGGGTTGGTTCAATATATGCAAATCAATCAATGAAATACACCACATGAACAGACTCAAAGACATAAATCACAAGATTATCTCAATACATGCAAAAAAAGCTTTCTCATCACTCATTCCTGATAAAACCCTAAAGAAAGATAATAGTCTTTACTTCAATATGATTAAAGCTATCTATGACAAACCAACAGCCATTGTCATCCTAAATGAACACAAACTGGAAATTTTCACTTTAAAAATCAGGTACATGATAGTTCTGGAAACATTAGCCAGGGAAATTAGACAAGAGAGAGAAGTAGAAGGAATAAAGATAGGGAAAAGAAGAAGTTAAACTATCATGATTCATAGATAATATATACTCTACATGGAAGATACCAAAAACCTCTATATTTAATAACAAATTCAGACTCAAAGTCAACACTCAAAAATCTATAGCTTTCCTATACACAAACAACAAAATACCTGAGACAAACTAGGGAAACCACAGCCTTCACGATAGCACAAAAATAAAATACTTACAAATCAACCTAACAAAGGAAGTAAAAGATCTACAGATTGAAAATTACAGAATTCTGAATAAATGAACTCAAACAGATATTAGAAAAAGATCATGGATAGAAAGAACCACCACTTGAAAATGATCATACTCCCAAAACTATTAAATAAATTTAATGCAGTAATGATCAAAATACCATTGGAATACTTCACAAGTCTAGAAAAAACATTCCTCAAATTCATTTGGAAACAGAAGGTATGCAGCATAGCAAAGGAAATCTTAGGAAACTAAGGTAGGGTAAGAGGTAGCACAATCCCTGACCTGAAATCATACTATAAAGCTACTGTGGTACAATAAGCATGGCAATGACAAAAACAAACAAACAGACCTGAGGATCAGTAGAACAGATTAGAAGATGCAGACACAACTACAAACACACTCAGTCAATTTATCTTTGAAAAGGAGGCCAAATATATTCATTAGAAGAAAGCCTCTTCAATAAATGGTGCAAGAAAACTGATTTTCCACATGTTGAAGACTAAAACTAGATCCATGTTTATCACCATGTACTGAACCATGTACTGAAGTCAAAATGGATCAGAGATCTAGATATTGAAATAGAAACACTAAATTTCCTGGAATAAAAAGGAGGTAGAAATCTTGAAGACATAAGAGTAGGCAGAGAGTTCATGAACAAGAACCAAACTACATGGATTATATCAGGGAATCCACAACTATGGTTTTAGCTTATTAAAAAATTTTGCACATCAAAAGAAATCATCAACAGAGTGAAAAAAAACTCAAATTGGGGAAAAATTCTACCCAACTGTCCCTCAAGTCAAAGGACTTCTATATAGAACATATAAAGAATTGAAAAAATCAAGCCTCCCAAATTCAAAGACCCAATTCAAAAATGGGCATCTAAGATGAATATGCACTTATCAGATGAACAAATGCAAATGACAGATAAATGCATGAAAAACTGTTCAACATGGCTCTTCCTTTGAGAGATTCAAATTTTAAAAAACACTGAGATTCCATCTCATCCCCCCAAAAGATGGCTGTCATCAATAAATCAAGCAATAACACATGCTGGAAAGGCTGTGGGGAAAAAGGAATACCTCACTTCAGTTGGTGGGAGTATAGAGTGTACAATCACTGAAAATCAGTGTGGAGATTCTTCAAAGAACTAGGATTAGAAATGCCATTCAATCCAGCTATCCATCTTTTGGATATTTTCTCAGAAGAATTAAAAAGTCATACCACAACAATATATATTCACCCATGTTTATAGCAGCACACTTTATTTTTTTAGCAGTACAATTTCTAATAGCAAACTCTTGGATACAACCCAAATGCTTATCAACTGAGGAATGGATAAAAAAGATGTAGTATTTTTATACGGTGGAGTGCTACTCAGCAATAAAGAAGGATGAACCTAAGACTTTTACAGGCAAATGGATGCAACTTCAGACCATACTCATAAGTTAAACAAATATGACTTCCATGTGTCAACATCCTACTGTCTACCTAGGGTAACAAACTGAAAGAATACATAGAATCCAAAGCATATGATAGATATTGTGAAAGGGGAAGAAATTATTCACAAGAAAAGAACAACTGAAATGGAGGAAAAGAGAAAGAAGGAAGGAAAGAGAATGTGTGTGTGTGTGTGTGTGTGTATAACATTTATATAAATATATATACACAAGATAACTAAGATAATTATACTACTAAATCTATATTCTTATGTCCAACAGCTATTACATGAGAGTTATAAGATCATCCAATGGAGGATGAATAATCTTTTCTTAAAATGGTGCTGTGATGACTGAATAGATACATGAAATAGTGAACTTTGATCCTCACTTCACATCATATACAAAGTTATTATAAATGGATCAGTGACCTATGTGCAAAAGTTAAAATTAAAAAACTCTTAGATAAAAACAAAGGGATATGATTCCGTGACTAAACTTGGCAAAAGATTCTTAGCTAAAATAGCAAAAGTTTACACAGCCACAATAACCACAGCAACAAAATAAATGAATCAGACTTAATCAAAATAAAATACTTTTGTGATTCAAAATACACTGCCAGAAAATTAAAATTCTCCATGGAATGAAGAAACTATTTGTAAATATTCATGTGATAGAAGATGTGAACCCATAATATATTTTAATATGCTTATAATTCAATAAAAATGCAAATGATCAAGTAAAATGGATAAAAGAAGTAAGTGGAAATTCTTTAAGAAAGATACACAAATGGCCAATAAATACATAAAAAGAATCTCAACATCATTATTCATCAGTGAAATATCAATCAAAACCACAATGAAATAGTACTCCACATCTACATCTACTAAGATGGCTAGAATAATGATCTCAGATGACAACTTTTATTATCAAAGGTGTGGAGAAACTGGAACCCTTGTGCACCACTGATAAAAAATGGAAAGGCTGTGGGGAAAAGAAGTAGTAGAGACATTTTGGAAAATAGTGGCAATTTCTAAATGACTAAATTTACAGCTGTCATATAATCCAATAATCTAACTTCTAGATATATACTCAAGAGAAATTACAGTATATCTATGTAAAAACATGTACATGAGTGTTACCAAAGAATTAGTCACAAGAATTGAAATGTGGATTACTCAATGTCTGTCAAGTGATGAATAAATAAGCAATGTATATTTGTTATATAATCATATAATACTTGTAAAATAATATACAATTACATATAATTCACATGTATATATATATATATATATATATATATATATATATACATACATACATAATGACAGATATTTGCTGCTTTTTACAATCTTTCCAAATTCTGTAATAATGCCAAATAAAAAAATCTAAATCTTATATAGTCTCTGGATTCAACTGTCAATTTTCAGGAAATGTCAAGGATAGAGGAACCTACCCAACCTGAATTG